GCTCCTAGCGCCCTTGTCGGGTCATTTCCATGCACGGAAGAGCTAAATCTGTGATTGTTCCCTAGAAGTCTATCCTACAGACCGAAGAGAATCCCTTCAGTTCAAATGAACACTCCTCAGTCGAGGTAGCTCAATAGCCACCACTTTTCTGCTAAGGTACGCTCTCGCGCCGCTCGATAGTACATTACGGTCTGTGGTAGTAAAGTGTGGCTCCAAATCGTGTGCAGGATCATTTCCTGAGTTTCTTCTTTTTTCAAGTCGTCAATTGGTTCAACGTCTTAATGTCTCACTTGCACATGAGAAAATGAGTGGGCAGGTGGCGCTGGTGGAAGCTCAAAGGTTCTGAAGATGATCAGTTGTCCGAAGCACTGATTGAGTGGGGCTGGCATCGTAACAACCTGTATGGCGAAGTAACAAGAAGGATATGCAAGTTGTTAAGATTTCAAGAAGAGTGAACACGGATCAAAAATGTACCACACACGTATTTGGTTGGGTTTGAGAAGTGCTAAATTCCATGCATAGTACTTATGCGCCTCGCTCTTCACGATATGCGTTAACCAGCTTCCTCCCACAATTGATCATCAATAGGAGGTTAGGTTCACTGACGAGTCAGTCAGCTTGCTTGTTTAGCTTTTTTGATAAACCCTGACAATTCTCCAGCTTCTCTCTTCTTGCAACCTCGGCATGTTAGTTGTAGGTCTGTTGAATTTCTTGTGCCTTACGAGGTTGTTTGGTGGAACATTTGATTTCAAAAGGCCTAACGGGGTAGAGCGTGAATCTAATACTTGGAATACGTTCAGGCCTCTGAAGACGACGATTCAGTCGAAACGTTAGGCCTTTGAAATAAATGTTCCACCAAACAACCTCGTAAGGCACAAGAAATTTAACAGCCTTACAATTTATATATAAATTCTGCACTACGCCTATGAGAATAACAATTCTGCCCACCTTGTCTTCATCTGTAGATTTTACTTCCTTAATGCCCATGAAGTGACGTTTATGACGACCTTGAAGACGAACTTCTGTTGATGCGGTAAAGTGCTGTGAAAAAGGGGCAGTTCGTTGGTCATCTCTATCACTAACATTTTTGCAGACATTACACAACTGCTTTTTTTTCACAGACATTACACACTTTGTCACAGTAGAAATAACCTTTTCACTCAATCGATGGCTATTTCAGTTTCAAATGGGTCCATTTAATGGAACAACTGCAGTATGAACGTACGATATCGATGCATCGTATGAGCGCCGAAATAGCTCAAGCGAGAAGAGTTGCTGCACATTTTGAGGAACAAGTTGATAAAGGACGACATCTCAAAAGATTGGAGGAAAAGGTCAGCCAATAGTGATTGGGTAAAGTCGAGGGCTTCGCTCGTAGAGTCGCTTTTTGAAAGTAGGTCAGTTACCCACGATGAATGGTGCAGGTTCAGGATACTTCGGGAACTCACGTTTTCTTGGGTTTTATTGAATTTCATGTGCATTCTGCACGGATCACTGTTGCAGTCGCA